AAAAAAAAAAAAAAAAAAAAAAAAACAGAGTCTGATCCCAATTTCTATTATCTCAATTTCCAAATTCAGTTCCAAAAGCTCTAATCTTGGGGGACAAAGCTTACTCGATAGATTTCGCCGGCTATGAAGACGGGTCTGGCAGGTTGCCCGTAATCGAAGTGCAGGGGTTTTGATGTCGGTATCACCTTGCCCTTGGCCGGGTGTGCACAGGTTTTCTTCCCAGCAGCAGGAGACCGCAGGCGGCGCACAAAATCGAATCACGGGCTGTACTAGATTTGGAGTTTAAGAAAGTTTTTGTACTTTTACTAGGTGATAATTTGTAAAAAATTTTGTTTTTTTCTTTTGGCCCCCAAAAACTTGTATTTTAAAGTTTGTTGATTTTTTTTTTTTTAAAATGCAATTATATTAATAACTTAAAAAGTCAAATGAATATAATTAAAGTGTCAAATGACACACTGAAATCAAAAAATTGGACCACCCCCTTGTCACATAAGGGGTACAAACTACAAACTCCAAAATCGAGGCGAACAACCACAAAACAAAAGCGGACGCAACATCACTAAAAGCAGATAAAGTTACACTAAACGAACAAACAAAAACACAAGAAAAAACAACTCACACCTAATTAATAAAATAAAGCCCTCCCCGACCACCGACAAACTACACATACACTACAACCTCACAAGCCAACAAATCGAAGAAATCTACATAGACGAACCGGTCCTCAGCCTAGAATACCAGTCTAAAAACTCCGCACTCCAAATCGGCTACGGCTATCCAGATCTGAGATTCTCTGTAATAACCCAGTTTATTATTAATAAAAGCAATGTATTTTCTTTTGTTAATAATGCTCATTTCCGCTTTCGAGCCAATAAGTTCGACTTTAAGTAGAAAGTCTATTCGGTTGATTTTATTAACCGAGTTCATTTTGATAATTAGTTCCCAAAACGTTTATTTTATAAACGTACATTATTAGTCGGGATTAAATATTTGAAAGCAAGGATATTCGAATTAATTTTTTAAGTCCAGGTCAAGTGTTACTAGCATGTTAGTCTAGGGCATGCACGCGCACCGTGCGCATGTGCGCGCGCCGAGCGTGGCATTGTCGTGTGCAACGCACGCTATGGTCGTGCGTGCGCGCGCGCCGTGCTAAGGCCAACGTCCACCATTGCGTTATGTGTTCATAAGCACCAAGGTCATGACTAGTTAATCCAAGCTTAAAGTTCTAGTGTTGGTCGTGAGTTATTAGTTTAAAATTTAAAAATGTGCAACTTGCACCTCATGAGTCACCTAGTAGCTTGAAGCTATGTGGCACCACATGATCACCTACTTGATGACTAAGTCGTAAGGATGCCACATAAGTAGGTGACTAGGCGTAAGTTGATGCCACAATGCGCTAGGATTTGAGCAAGTGTCTTCTCATAATTTAGTCATATTTCCCATCATCATCCATCAATTTCTATTTAAGTGTGTGGTTTAGGCCGTGGGTTTATTCCCATGCAAAAACCGAGCAAAACATCTAAGAGTTAAGAGAAAATAGCCGAGAGGTAATAGAAAATAGCTAAGGCCTTGATTGTTTACGGATTAATTTGTTGAAAGTGAAATAATTGAGGAAATTGAGTTAATTGGGCTTGTGTACCAAAATACTTCAGTCTATTCAATTTCAATGGCAGGTCCACTAATACAGCTGCTGCCCCCCACATTAACTTGATCTGTATTATTAAATTAAATATCACCTTTCAAAAAAAAAATTAAATATCACCAACCATTCTGACAAAAAGCTCTAGCACGTCATTTCCAAATTGAAACTCAAGAACCATCTCCTTCAATAAAATGCCCTCTTATGTGAAAGAAAAAACTATGAATTCCTCCCCATATCCGTCTCTCCGCAACTCCATCCCACCTGTTCTGTCGTTGGAGGACTTGCTGGAGAGGACCGATCCGCACACCGAAAGCACCGGCAGTGTGTAGGTGAATTCTCCGGTAAAAAAAAACGAAACGAAGAAGAAAGGTTTGTTGGTTTTAATTTGTGAATTTTTTGTACATTTTTTGTTCTTATAACTGATTTTAAGTGCCTTGAACTACCCGAAAATGTAGAAAAGGAATTCTGATTTGGTGTGCTTATATAAATTAAAATTCATAAAAAAATTTGAAGGATTGCATATTTTTTGCGAATTGTGTATCTTGTCTGGTTTACTTACAAAATGAAAGTACATAATTATATTCTACTAATTAGGGATTTCACCTATTATTATTGTTGCTAAAAAAAATTGGATGTTAAGACCTTTTGTTTCATTTTTGTTTTTCCACTGTCGGGCCTGCTGAGATGATGATTCTTTCGTAATAAATTAATTTCGTACTTAAAGGCCCGTTGGTGGTGTCTCGTGCAAGTCGATTTGTATGGGATTGATGCGTTTGTTTCTTTCCTTTTTTTTCTCCTATTATGTTTGCTTCATGTTTGTTTCCTATTATGTTTGCTGTGAGTAGATGTTTCCTATTATCTCGGAGCTGTGTGTGGTGAAACATTGTAGATGTCGACGTCGGCTGAAGACGGGTTAACGCAACCTAAAGAAGGAGAAGCAAAGTTACCTCCGAATAATGAAGCCCGATTAATATCGTTGATGTTGGACATCTTGGGGAAGTGCATCAACCAGAAGTTCAAAACAAGCAATTGGATGGATATTCAAAAAGCATTGAACAAAGTGTGTGGTCCACAACACCATTACGAGATAACACAAATCACGAGCAAGCATGATCGGTTGAAAGTGAAGTGGCATCGGTTCCACAATATACTGCATAATACAACTGGGTTCAGCTGGAATTCAGAGACAGGGAAGCATACGGGTGGTGACGAAGTTTGGAGCCATTGGTTCGCGGTTAGTTCATTTGTTCCATTTGTTTCCATTTTTTGTTTGTTGTGACTAGTTATACTTTCACCTTCAGTTTAATTTTTAAAATTATTTGCATACATTGAAACTGTGGTTAACCTGATGCCTTGACAGAAATATTTCTGGTTTCTTGTTTGTTACATTTTATTAAAATATATATATATATATATATATATATATATGCATAAATTGAAACTGTGGTTATCCTGGTGCCTTAACAGAAATATTTTTGGTTTTCTTTTTTGTTTGTTACATTTGATTAAAAAAATAAAAATATTTGCATAAATTGAAATTGTATCCTGGTGACAAAAATATTTTTGGTTTCCTTTCTTTGTTTACATTTCATTAAAAAAAAACCTTATGGGTCTACGATTTTCCAAAAACAGGTGCGTCCAAAGGACAAGGAGATGAAGAGGATGGCTTGCGTGCACTATCGTGAGTTGACCACAATTTTTATCGAAAACACGGTAACTGGCAGCGGTGCAAGGGCATCTACACAGCCAC